TATGGCTCAGTGGTAGAGTGCTCGCCTAGCACACACAAGGCACTGAATTTGATCCTCAGCAACACATTAAAAATAAATAAAAATATTATGTTAAAAAAAATAAAAATAAAGCATGTAAATCTATGGCTTTTAGTTATTTACAGAGTTGTATAGCTATCATCATTATCTAATTCTAGAATGTTTTTTTAAATATTTTTTTAGTTGTTGGTAGACATTTATTTATTTATGTGGTACTGAAAATTGAACCCAGCGCCTCACATATGCTAGGCAAGCGCTCTACCACTGAGCTACAACCCCAGCCCTAATTCTAGAACATTTTCATTACCCTATTTGTAACTTCCTATTCCTCCTTCCTCCCAGTACCTGATATCTACTAATCTACCTTCTGTCTCTGTGGTTCTGCTCTAGAAATTTCATATAAATGAAATAATATAATATGTGGCCTTTTGTGTCTGTCTTATTTTGTTTAGTTAATGTTTTTAAGATTCATCTATGTTGGGCTGGGGTTGTGGCTCAATGGTAGAGCGCTTGCCTAGCATGTGTGAGGCACCTGGTTCAATTCTCAGCATGACATATAAATAAATAAATAAAATAAAGGTCCATCAACATCTAAAAAAAAGATTCATCTATGTTGCAACATGAATGAGTAACCTACTTCTGTGGCTGAATGATATTTTATTATTTGGATATACTATCAACTAGATTTTAAACTCCTCCAACTATCTCACTGTTTTGTAATACTCTCAAGGTGTTGATAGGTTGATTCATTGATGTTAAAAATGAGGAAGGCAGGCTGGGGTTGTGGCTCAGTGGTAGAGCGCTCACCTTGCACATGCAAGATCCTGGGTTCGATCCTCAGCACCACATAAAAATAAATAAGTGAAATAAAGGTATTGTGTCCAACTACAACTAAAAAATAAATTTAAAAAATGAGGAAGGTACTAAAGTAGAAACAACGTTTGTGATGTAGGTCCCCTTGCCAAAAACCAGGAATTTGTCTTTAGTCTTTTTTTTTTTTTTTTTTTGGTACCAGGGATTGAACCCAGGGGTGCTTAACCATTGAGCCATGTCCCTAGCCCTTTTATTTATTTATTTATTTTGAGACAGGGGCTCACTAAGCTGCTGGGCCTCACAAAGTTGCTGAGGCTGGGCCTCACAAAGTTGCTGAGGCTGGCCTTGAACTTGCCTCAGTCTCCTGAGTTACTGGGATTACAGGTGTGCACCACCACACTTAGCTTCTTTCCCTCACTTTCTTATATTTAATTGGTCATAAAATGATTACAGAACAGCTCCAGAATAACTAATTCATCTATTTTTCTCTCTCTACCAATATTGCCTTACTTCAAGTCTTCCATCTTATCATTTGTAGACTTTTCTCTAGCTTCCTGACCATTCTCTTCCCTCTTAAATCAGTGCTCCATAGCATAACTAAGAGGATGTTTCCAAAATACAACTCTAATTTTATTTGTTGGCTTCATTAAAAGCCTTTAATGTCATTTCTTGATTTTAGCTCTTTGGAGCTGTTTATGCTTCCATTAATTGATTCATTCAAATCATTGTGTACATCCACAAAACTGGGGTCATAATTAGAATAAGATATATTCCTGGGCTGGGGGATGTGGCTCAAGCGGTAGCGCGCTCGCCTGCCATGTGTGCGGCCCGGGTTCGATCCTCAGCACCGCATACAAACAAAGATGTGTGTCCGCCGAAAACTAAAAAAAATAAATATTAAAATTCTCTAAAAAAAATTTTTAAAAAAGATATATTCCTGCTTATATAATTGTGCCATAATGGACTCTACTGTCATGTATAACTAAAATGAATCAATAATATTTTAACAATTTATTTGGGGCTGGGGTTTGGCTTGGTGGTAGAGTGCTTGCTTAGCACATGTGAGGTACTGGGTTTGAACCTCAGCCCCACATAAAATAAATAAAATAAAACTATTGTGTTCATCTACAACTAAATTTTTAAAAAATAATAATTTATTCAACCAGCACACATAGTTATTTGTTGCCTGCTTTGGGCCAGGCACTATTGTAAATATTTGATATATATATAGAGAGAGAGAGAAAAACAAAATAACATAAATCTCTGTATGGTCTCTCCCTTCATGAAGTTTGTACACATTAATGAAATAATCACATGAGTATGTAATTATAAACAGTGATAATGCTATAAAGGAAAAGTAGGGGGAACTGAAAAGAACCTGTAGACCAAAGACAAATTCCTTAATCATATATATCTGAGAACCAAGGAATGAGTGACAGTTTAATTATCTGAGGTTAGAAGAAATTGCCTGTTCCAAAATCCCTAAGGCAAAAGGGATCTATGATCATTTGAAGGATTGAGTCCTAGTGTGATACAGCATAGGACCTGAAGTGGGAAAGGGAACAGAAAATGGGTCTTGAAAAGTAGATGGTTGATTCAAAAAAGCGGTGGAAGGCTACTGAAAGATTTTAAATAGAAGAATGAAAATTCCACTTCAAAAAGAGACTTCCTAGTATAGTATAGTAAAGAGTGGATTGGCCTGGGTATGGTGGCATGCATCTGTAATCTGAGTGAATTAGAAGGTTGAGGCAGAAGGATTACAAGTTCAAGGCCCACCTGGGCAACTCAGCAAGGCCCTGTCTCAAGGACAGGAAAAGAAAAGGGTTGGGGATGTAGGATAGTGGTAGAGCATTTGCCTAGCATGTGCAAAAACCTAGTTTCAATTTCTTATAGTACCACAAAAAAGATTGGATAGGAAGGAAACAAGACTAACTAGGGAGAGAGAACAGGCCTACACCATTATAATGCACGAAGGAGTTAACAATTTGTACTAGGTTGTTGCTGGTAGTGGAAATGGAGAAGAGTGGACCATTTCAAAAAATATTTAGAGGTAAAACATAGTCTACATTGGGGAGTATGCAAAAAAAGGGAAATTATCGAGGATACTCAAGCTTCTAGCTTACAATGCTGGATAGACAGTAGTAGTATTACCATTCGCTAAATTAAAGTGGAAAAAGATTTGAGAGATCTCTGTTTATGAATATTGAATTTTATATGACTTTGAGGTAGCTACAAGGAAATGTTGACAATTGGCTGTATAAGTCTAGAGAAGAGGACTCCTCAGTACATTGCATTTTGAGCTCAACTGTGCCTCATTACCCCTATATAAGAATGATAATGTCTACAGCTCACAGTGTATTAGTGTGATCAGTAACTTGTAGACATGCTAATTCAATAGTTATTATCAGTACTCTTAAGTAAACAGTAATTTTCTGTTGATCTGTTATCTGGCCGTTTACTTCATACTCTTTGTTTGAAGTTCCTCCCCAGAAAGGATATCAACTCTTTTTTTTTTTTTTTAGAGAGAGAGAGAGAAAAAGAATTTTTTAATATTTATTTATTTATTTATTTTTTAGTTTTCGGTGGACACAGCTTCTTCTTTTTTTTTTTTTTTAATGTGGTGCTGAGGATCGAACCCAGCGCCCCGCACATGCCAGGCAAGCACGCTACCACTTAAGCCATATCCCCAGCCCAAGGATATCAATTCTAATACAGATTACTAGTGTAGAATGAACAATCTTCAGTTTCTCTTTTAAGAAGTTTCTTGCTTTAAAAAAAAATTACATCCGGTTTTATCACAAGTATTTTCTCCATGATATGCTAAGTGTGAAATATGATATACATAATAAATCCAAGAACAGCTTTTTTTCCTATTTGAAAACAAAATTATCTAGTAAGCCTTTCCTTGTGGGGGGAGTAGTTATGCCAGGTTTATTTTTTTTTAATATTCTTTTTTTTAAGAGAGAGAGAATTTTTTTAATATTTATTTTTCAGTTTTTGGTGGACACAACATCTTTATTTTATTTTTATGTGGTGCTAAGGATCGAACCCAGCGCCCTGCGCATGCCAGGCGAACGCGTTATCACTTGAGCCACATCCCCAGCCCGCCAGGTTTACTTTTTTTAAAAAAGTAATCAATTTCTTTTTTTTTTTTTTATAAGTTTTAAAACAAAGTAGTACATAAATATACAAATATGATAAAATTGCACAAAACTATACATACACATAATGAGTGCATATAAAACTGGCAAAATCTGAATAAGATCTTTGGATGGTACCAGTGTCAATGTTCTATCAAATTAGGGTAATTTAAGCCGTGCGGGGTGGTGCACGTCTATAATTCCAGTGTTTAGGGAGGCTGAGGCAGGAGATTTGGATTTCAAAACCAGCCTCAGCAATTTAGTGAGATACTTAGCAAATCAGTGAGACCCCGTCTCTAAACAAAATATAAAAAAAGGGTTGAGGATGTGGCTCAGTGGTTGAGTACCCTGGGTTCAACCTCAGTAACAAAAAAAAGAAAAAATTAGGGTAATTTGATAGTTCCATGAGATGGTACCATTAGGGTAAATTGATGAAGGGTACAGATGACCTCTTTGTATTGTCTTGGCAAATTCTTATGAATCTATAATTTTTCAAACTGGAAAAGAAATCAGACTGCAATCAAATTTCTATTAATTAACTAGTTTATGCTAAAATGAGATTTAATCTTTCTATATAGTCTTAGGAGATTTAATTTAGTTAACTTTAATATTACTTACATGGAAGTGCATCAACAGCCAGGAACAGTGGTGCATGCCTATAATTCCAGTGACTTGGGAGGCTGAGGGAGGACGATTGTAACTCTGAAGACAGCATTAGCAATTTAGTGAGACTCAAAAAACAATTAGTGAGAACTTGTCTCAAAATAAAAAGGGGTGGGGATGTAACTCAATGGTAAAGCATCCCTGGGTTCAATTCCCTAGTACCAGAAAAGAAAAAGGAAAGCATGCACCAACAATATTAAATAGTAAAACAACTAAAACCATCAGCAAAGTAGTATGAATAAAATAACCTGGATGTGGGTCAGTGATCGAGTGCCTCTGAGTTCAATTCCTGGTTCCATCCCCTGCCCAACAAAAAAAGATTCACATATTTGCCTTGGTTTATAATTTGTCCTCTTTTCTCCTAAGATCTCAGTGGTTCCATAGCATCCCCAGATGTCAAATTAAACCTTGGTGGAGATTTTATCAAAGAATCTACAGCTACTACATTTCTGAGGCAAAGAGGGTATGGCTGGCTTTTGGAAGTTGAAGATGATGATCCTGAAGATAACAAGCCACTCTTGTATGTAAAAACAATATGTATTTTTGGTTTTAAGAACTAGTCTGTGGAATGTTTACATTTTTTCATGTTATTCAAACACGATGGAAAATCTAACTCTTTTTGGTCAAAAGCAATAAGAGTTTGCAATTTTAGTAGAAATTTTAAAAATACAAACAATAATTAATCTATTGAATGTAAAAAAATTAAAAGAATAATAATCCTGCATCACATGTATGCACATATGCATGTACACAAATGTACTCTATGCTTACCACGCTAACTCAATTGCAGTCTCAAAAAATAGAATTCTTGGGCTGGTGTTGTGTTTCAATGGTAGAGTACTTGCCTAGCACTTGTGAGGCACTAGGTTCAATCCTTAGCACCACATAAAATAAGTAAATAAATATAGTGATTTTTAAAAATAATTTCTGTTGAAATTCAGGTTTAAAACAAATTAAATTTCAAAAAAAAAAAAATCCAAAATCTCTCATATAGAAATTCTGAAGTTGCCACTGGGAGAACTCTAGAAACTCTTCACTTTTCTTCACTTTTCTTGAAATTTTGTGATTGTCATCTGGGGGAAAAAGTGAAGAAAGTAATAATTTTGGAAAGAAGATCTTATACCTTCGTAAAATTGAGGCATTACTAAATTATTCTTTGTATTAATTATCGATAGATTAAGAACTAAACATCCTATTTTTAATATGTTACACAACATCAAATCTAAGATGCTATGGATTATAAAATGTAGTTACTTTTCACATTAATGAAAAGTACAGTGCTCAAGACAATACAAAACTGGGACATCAAAGGACTGTTTCTGGGCCAAGAACATAGATTAGCAGTGGAGCAGTTGCCTAGCATATGTGAGGTCCTTGGTTCAATCCCCAGTACCACCCAGAAAAGTTGTCTTGTTGTAAAGGTGAGTGAAAAATAACCTGTAACACAGAAAGTGACACCAAGGAAATTTGCTTCAGTTCGCACTGAGTGGAATGCTGGAAGACAAAATTTCCTCTAATAACAAACTCCATACTGGTCCTCCTGTTAGGTTTATAGTTTGAATTATCAGTATGGTCCCAAAAATCTTAAGCAGAAAAATTAAAAGTTGTCTTAAACTCCTCTAGGAGACTGACTAAAGTAAGACATATAAATGGAAGCACTTGGTTTCATTCCAGGCTAACAACAATTACCAGATAGCAGCAATTGTGAATTATATCCCAGCTGTAGAAATGATGAAATGTTGAAACATCTCTAAAATTAATTGGGATATTTCACATTAGAATCAATCAGTGAAATATAGTACTTCAAATGCAAATGTGTTGTTGACCTTTGGGTATAATACTGTCATATTTAAACTTTTCTTATATTCTTTTGCAACTTAGTATTCAAAACTGTGTGTCTTTTGTGAATTTTTATTTTGAAACTATAGGGAAGAATTGGATATCGATCTAAAGGATATTTACTACAAAATTCGATGTGTTTTGATGCCAATGCCATCACTTGGTTTTAACAGACAAGTGGTGAGAGACAATCCTGACTTTTGGGGTCCTCTGGCTGTTGTTCTTTTCTTTTCCATGATATCATTATATGGACAGTTTAGGGTAAGTATATCTTATTTTGTAATAAATTCAAAAAATTCAAAACTTAAATATAGACAAATATTAACTTAATTATTATGTTTGAGTAATGCTTTATCTTTGCCCAATATTTCTCACTGTGCATTCCTAAAGTTGTTCTATAATTAAATAAGTGTATCTTAGATTAATGCTTTCTAAATTTTTCCACATCATCATTCACACAGAAAGTATTAATATTTGTATGACTCATTGGAGTAAATGTTTGGGACTGCTCCCAGTTGACCAGAAAGGCCAGAAAGACTGCCCATATCTTTTCTTATTTCCCTGTGGCATGAAAAGTTTGAAATGTGATACACAATCATTTTTGTATCTTTTATTTACATTTTTCTGTTTTTTTAAGTGAATTAAATAATGACAAGGATTCCATCAGTATTTTTTTTCATTATTACTGGTATTTTAATCACTTTGTCTTCAATGTCTTTGTTTTGAGTACAATATAAATATATCACTCTCATTCCCAGTAGTAAGGCTTTAGAGAAGTAAAAAGTAACTCTACCATAGTGGATTGACATTGAATTGATTTCTTGCTATTGTAGCAAATTGCCACAAACTTAGTTACTTTAAACAACACAAATGTGTTCTTTTATCATCTGGAGGTCTGGAGTCCACAATATGTCTCAAAGGGCATTGATGGATCTTACATGCAGCAGTTTTGCTGTAGTATTTACTGACTAATGAATTCTTTATTTCCTTCATTCCTTCCACATTATTATTGGGAATTTTCTAAGGAACAGCTATCCCTCTTTTCTATTATGTAATTATTCAGTTATTTATGTCAGTATGAACTCATGGGTATTTATTTTTTCTCTAGTATATAATCCAGTATCATTTACTTTATTGCATAAATTGTTTCAGTTTTAGCCTTTGGAAACTCCTTCATGTTGCCCTCTGTGTTCATACTTTTTGAGCACTTCCTTTCCTGTGATCCCACAAAGTGTTCCAGGCTAATATTATATATTTCTGCAAGTAGCTTCAATGTTTGGCTTAATGGAAGCTGAATTTTAAGATCTGCTTTCTATATTCAATCTGTAATGTTACATTGTTTTCTCTGCTCCTGACCTAGAAGCACCATTTCTCTAAGGAGTCTTAGTTCCTTTAATTACAGAGTATTTAGAAACTAAGTAATCAATGAGTTTTTGTTACTACTAGGGTGTTACTTCCAGACCTCCTAGAAGACAGAGCTTTAAATGTATACATGTATCATTAAATTAAATCTGAGCAGTTAAAAGTGTCTAAAATGTCTTCCTTGTTCTACTTGGATAAATATGTAATTAATCGAAGTCTTAAGTATTTCTAGAGAAGATTGGCAACGTATTTTAGAAATGAATTTTCCTTGCAGAATACCATAAACCATGAAGTTAGGAGTGAATACTTCTTTTTTTCTTTTTTATAGTTATATTTTATCATATGTCTTAAAATGTTGAAGTTTTCTTAGGCAATTGATAATTGCTAAATTTTCAATTTGGTTATATAATTGTATTTCACATTGCATTCTTTCTAAGTTCTGACACAACCTATCTATGATCTGAAATTGGGTATGACAAACTATCTTTAATATAGTAGAGAACTGAATTCCTGAAAAATTAGCAGTTTTATGTGGTACAAAGATATTAATTATGTGAATTTTTCCCCCTTGAGGTGGTCTCATGGATTATAACCATTTGGATATTTGGTTCACTGACAATTTTCTTGCTGGCCAGAGTTCTTGGTGGAGAAGTAAGTTGTTAATTTTGAAAGTACCCTTTGTTTTTTATGGTAAGCTTTATTTTTGATACTGCAGATACCATTATAATCATTATAATTACTTTTAAGTTATATTAGTTCCTTTAAGATTTTCAATATCTGAAATGTCTTTCTTATTCTACTACTTGGATAAATATGTAATAAGAATAAGCATACTCAGTAAATGTTACAAGGAATGAAGAGAAATGGGAAGATGCCATATCACTGATCAAATAATATGTAGTTTTTTGGGGAAGAATACAATTTATTTTCTTACAGCAGTTTTCAAGTTTGTTCATAAGTTAGTTCTCAGGTTGCCACAGAGATTTCTTTATGTGTGTTATATTTATCAATATTTTCCATGTTAGAAATTAAAATAATTTTTTAAAAATTATAAAATAATTTAAAATATTTGTTTTATTTCAAGCTAACAATAAACCAACTATAAACAATACATTTTGAAGAAAATTAACTATCTTTTTCCTAAACAAAACAGTGAGAAGAGTAGCATTGCTTTAGATTTTTGCAAGTAGCTTCAATGTTTGGCTTAATGGAAGCTGAATTTTAAGATCTGCTTTCTATATTCAATCTGTAATATTACATTGTTTTGATTAAAGTATGTAGAGAAAATAAGAATTCATACAGATAAATAATTGGAAAAGAGGGCTGGGCCATAGCCCAGTGGCAGAGTGCTTGCCTAATACTTGTGAGCCCACTGGGTTTGATTATTAGCACCACATAAAAATAAACAAATAAAATAAAGGCATGCTGTTCATCTATAACTACAAAAGAAAATTAAATTTTAAAAATTGGAAAAAAATGTTTTAATAGCTTTTTCAGATAATTGTGGGTATTCTTTTCTGATACTGCACCAAAACTTAACTACTTAGTTTCTTTAAAGTTGCAGTAAGGAATCTCAAATTTTATCTATGAACTTTTCATACTGTGTTTACTTTGAATGAATCTTTATTCCCTGTGTATGATTTTGGACATAAGAGAAAAAAACATCATTAGTTCACTGAGTTTTGCAGATATTTTTAAATGTTGACCATTTAATTGGGGATTAAACTCAACTATACTTTGCCACTGAGCTATATCCCCAGTTCTTTTTATTTTTTATTTTAAAACAATATTTTGCTAAGTTACACAGGCTAATGTTGACCTTGCTATCCTTTTGCCTCTGCTTTTCAAGTACATGTGATTGTTCGTGTGTACCACTATGCCCACCCAAAGTTTTTAAAGTTCATATTTTTGCTGCAACAATTTACTGTTAAGTTTTTATTAATGCAGCAGATACACTTTATTAATTTTCAAAAGCATGTTTGCTGTAACAAGTCTGAATAACCATGGTTTCTCTGTTCTTTGAAGTAAAAATGATGTTCCATGGAATAAGGTTTTTTTTGGGGGGGCGTGGGGAGGTATCAGGGATTGAACTCAGGGCCCTTTGACCACTGAGTCCCATCCTAAGCCCTGTTTTGTATTTTATTTAGAGACAGGGTGTCACTGAATTGCTTAGCACCTCGCCGTTGCTGAAGCTAGCTTTGAACTCGACATCCTCCTGCCTCACCTCCCAAACCACTGGGATTACAGGCATGCGCCCCTGCAACTGGCCGCAAATAATGTTTTATTATTATTATTATTTTTTAGTAAAAATTTTTAGTTGTAAATGGACACAGTATCTTTATTTATTTTTTTTATGTTGTGCTAAGGATCAAACCCAGTGCCTCACCCTAACCCTAACCCTAACCCTAACCCAACCCTAACCCTAACAAGCGTTCAACCACTGAGCTACGACCCCAGCCCTATTACTATTATTTTAAGAATTTTGATCTTATAATCTTTTAAAACAGTCTCTGAGATCCCCAAGGGTCCAGAGGCTATTTTGAGAACCTTTAGCAGTTTATTCTGCAGAAAGAGTAAAACAGAGGAGATGCCAAAGTTATAATATGACTCATCAGGCTGACTCTATGAATAGCAAATGTTAAATGCAGAAACATTAAGCTGTCTTCTTTTTTTAATATTTATTTTTTAGTTGTAGTTGGACACAATACCTTTATTTTATTTATTTTTATGTGGTGCTGAGGATCAAACCCAGGGCCTCAAGCATGCCAGATGAGTGCTCTACTGATGAGCCACAACCCCAGCCCCAAGCTCTCTTCTTATATTTGATAGTAATATAAGAAGTTTGTTACTTAGCAAGTTTGTTACTTAGCTCTAGTTGATTTGCTTTCCAACTTCCAAAATTATGTTGCTATTATCTTGTATCCTCTTCTTTTCTTGTTCATTCCTCTTATAAAAAGAAGCCTCAGGATAGGATATAGCTCAGCAGTAGAGTGTCCGCCTTGCAGTATATGAAGCCCTGGGTTTGATCCCCAAAACCTGCAAAAAAAAAAAAGTCTCTTTTTTTTCCCTTCCCATTGAATGGAGTTTCAGGAGGGAATAATATTAGATGTATAATAAGTATATAGCAACGTCTGTGAAGCTTTTTCATTCTACATATGGAAATCCTAATTCTAATAACACTTAAAATGATATTTTATTATTTAAAAAATTTTTTTAGTTGTAGATGAACATAATACCTTTATCTTATTTATTTTTATGTGGTATGGAGGATTGAACCCAGTGCCTCACACATGCCAGGCAAGCACTCTACCACTGAGCTGGAACCCTAGCCCCTAAAATTATATCTTAATGTATATTTTTCTTATATCCTGGACAAATGTAGTCTATGTCTATGAAAAAATAGATATCACTAAAATTGTTTGTGTGATTTAAGAGTTAAGAAACTTTGATCTTAATTGAATTTCATCAGTTACCAGCTTTGCTTTCCCAAGTACAGTATTTGATCTAATCAAGAATCAGTTTCTGGGGCTGGGGATGTGGCTCAAGCGGTAGCGCGCTCGCCTGGCATGCGTGCAGCCCGGGTTCGATCCTCAGCACCACATAAAAACAAAGATGTTGTGTCTGCCAAAAACTAAAAAATAAATATTAAAAATTCTCTCTCTTAAAAAAAAAAGAATCAGTTTCTTAGCCAGGTATGGTGGCGCACACTTGTAATCCTGGTGGCTGGGGAGGTGAGGCAGGAGGTTAGGGATTTCAAAGCCAGCCTCAGCAAATTCATGAGATCCTAAGCAACATAGTGAGACCCTGTCTCTAAATAAAATACAAAAAGGGCCAGGCACAGTGGCGAACGCCTGTAATCTCAGCGGTAGGGAGGCTGACGCAGGAAGATCATGCGTTCAAAGCTAGCCTCAGCAAAAAGTGAGGTGCTAAAAAACTCAGTGAGACCTTGTCTCTAAATAAAATACAAAATAGGATTGAGATGTTGTTCAGTGGTCATGTGCCCCTGAGTTCAATCCCTGGTACCAAAAAACAAAAAGGGTTGGGGATGTTGCTCAGTGGTTAAGCGCCTCTGGGTTCTCCCTGGTACCAAAAAATTTCTTCATAATGGAACAATAATGCATACTCATAGAGTTGTTTCTTAATTGGATCTTTACAGTTTGAAGGCCTCTGTCAGAACTTGGTATATAGAATTCACTAATATTTTTCTCTTCAGTCTCTCCTGGCTGCCCTCCCTCCCTTCTGGTCTGCATTTGTCACATCTAGCTTCTCTGGGCCTTGGATTTTTCATCTAACTAAGTTGTTTGTTGTGCCTTTAATCCTCCACAATTTAGGGAAAGTTAGAGACAAAGTAAAATGTAGATATATAAGGAAGGTGGTTAGATAAATAATCCTGAAACTCAAGAGAGAAGTAGGGCTATAAATATAAATTTGAGTATCATCAGCAAATGTTAATTGAAACCAAGGTGGTTGGTGCTAGGGCCTAGGAACATTGCAGAATATATGATAATTTGAAATATATTGGGTATGATACTTTTTGATTTCTTATTAATTCTCACACTTATGTAAGTACAATGAATATTTTATGATTAATAGTGATTAAAATGAGTATCTTGATTTCTATGATATTTATTTAAAATTTTGAAAATCTACAGGTTGCATATGGCCAAGTTCTTGGAGTTATAGGATATTCATTACTTCCTCTCATTGTAATAGCTCCAGTACTTTTGGTGGTTGGATCATTTGAAGTTGTGTCTACACTTATAAAAGTAAGTTATGTGGTAATGAATTACATGAAGTAGTTTATTGTTTTCTAGTAAAGCAAAAGTTTCCTAATCCTCTAAGACTGTGATAATCTAAAACTGTTTCTCAGTTTGTATAAATATGTCAAAATAGACTCATATTGTTATGTATAACTAAAAAGGATAAATTTTTTTTAAAAAATTAAAGAATAGTAGTAATTTGGAAAAGAGAACGTCCTTTAATAATCATTGGGCATTTTGAGCCGGGTGTGTTGGCACATGTCTATAATCCCAGTGGCTCAGGAGGCTGAAACAGGAGGATCACAAGTTCAAAGCCAGCCTCAGCAATGGCAAGGCACTAAGCAACTGAGACCCTGTCTCTAAATTAAAAATACAAAATAGGGCTGGGATGTGGCTCAGTGATCGTCATTGAGTGCCCCTGAGTTTAATCCCCATTATCAAAAGAAAAAAAAAAAGGAACGTGCATTTTGGAACCAATCAGTTCTGAATTCAAATCCTGTTTCTACATGATTTTTTTACCTTCTAGTCTTCTGAAGGTATCTTAACTTTTCTTATTCTCAATTTGTTCATACTAATGGGAATCTCTTTTTTCTTTTCTTTTCTTTTTTTTTTGGTAGCGGTACTAGGGATTGGGCCTAGGGGCCCAATCTACTACTGCGCTACATCCCCAACTCTTTTTATCTCTCTCAGTTGCTGAGTAAGGCTGGCCTTGTAATGTTCCTGCCTCAGCCTCCGTGTCACTGGAATTATCGGCCTGTGTCACTGCACCTAGCAACACTGGATGTCTTAACAACTAGTTTTTAAGGATTTGTTGTGAAGATTTTAAAGTATATAGATGCAGTGGTTGGCACACAGTAGGCACTCCAAGGATAACTGTTATTATAGATATACATAAGATTATTTTGAGATCATCTTTCTATGTTCAAACTGTTTGAATACTTCAAACCAAGAAAAGCTTCGTTTCCTCTACATTCTAACCCTGAAATCTTTTTTATCTAATTGGCATTATTAGAATTTAGTTTAAAAATCTTAGGATTCAGCAGCAAGCCTCATGCTGGCATTTAGTTATTCTAGCTTTATGAACTTTACTAAGTCATTTAAGGTTACTTTATGCCATGTTTTCTTTTACTTGGTTAATCATGTTTGAATATTTCTGAAACTACTTAAAATTACTAAAAGTATTGTCACTTTTAGTCATTAGCTCTAATGAAAGTTGGTCCTTAATATTTTTTATACAACATATGAATATATCATAAAATAGAAATATCTTTTGAAAATATCATTTAAAATTTAGAATAAAATCAGGTCTCTTAAAAAAATTTTTTTTGTCAGTACTGGAGATTGATCCCCAGCCCTTTTTATTTTTTATTTTGAGACAGGGTATTGCTAAGTTGCTGAGGGCCTGGCTAACTTGCTGAGGCTGGCTTTGAACTTAAAATCCTCCTGCTTCAGCCTCCAGAGTCACTGGAATTACAGGTGTGCACCACTGCACCTAGCTCTTAAAATTGTTTTTAAACTTCAGATTTTTCTTTGCTAATTTTTTTCCCTAATCATTTAATCTTCTGTGGATATAGTGGACTATTATACACGTTTCTAATTTCAGTCCAGTTAATTCTAGGATTACAATACAGTTTAATCTACAAGCATTAATTTTAACATTTAATTCCTATAATACATTATCTAACCATTTATAACAAAAAAATCCTGATATATAAATGCAATTTGATCATAATTTTACTTTATATATTTCTTTATATCTTCCTGTTCGCTTCAGTTGTTTTGTGGGTCTTTTTTTTTAATATTTAAAAAGCATGGTAGAAACTTGGACCATCCCAAGTATGTTTCAGTCAGTTTTCCAATATCTTATTATTATTATCATCATCATCATCTTTATTTATTTATTTATTTATTTTTAAGAAAAACTGTTCTAGTTCTCAACTGAAGTCAATTTTTTCCTCCAGGGATGTTTGGAAATATCTAGAGGCATTTTTGAGTATCATAGACAGGTGGAGGTTATTGGCATGGTGTGTAGAGGGCACATGGTAGGCAGAGGGCAGGACAGCTCTGCATAACAAAGAATTATTTGGCCTAATTGTTAATATTGCATGTTTGAGACACTCTGGCTAATGCTGTCTGTTTCTATTATAGTATCCTTGATTTTTCGCCTCATTTTATGTTATAAAATGTCTAAAGTGACTAAGCCAGGCAAAGTAGACATGCCTGTAATCCTGGCTGCTTGGGAGTCAGAGGCAGCAGGGTCACACATTTGAAGCCAGCCTGAGCAATATAGCAAGACCCTTTCTCAAAATGGGCTTGGGAATATATTTTTTTTAATCTGTTCTCCTGCTTTTTAACAATTTTCTACCTCTTGAGGGTAATTTTGTTTTAAGAATTTGGCCCAATAACTTTTTCAAAAATTGGCTTTATCAGGATTGGGGACTGGCTCAGTGGTAGGGCATTTGCAGTAGACACCCCAAGTGATTATTATGATATACAGGTTTCATTTTTTAAAAAGACCATCTCATGGTTAAGGAACACAGCAAGGATGAACATTCTTAATGTTTTTAATATTTTTAGTTATTGTTTACCACATTGGTGGTTGATTTTTTTAAAATATTGTAAACATTATTTTTACTCTATGATAACCAAAAAGGTATTTGATTTGCTAATGTGCTGCCTTTTGTCTTTCTTTTCTTCCTTTTTCTTTTTTTTAAGCTGTTTGGTGTGTTTTGGGCTGCCTACAGTGCTGCTTCATTGTTAGTGGGTGAAGAATTCAAGACCAAAAAGCCTCTCCTGATTTATCCAATCTTTTTATTATACATTTATTTTTTGTCTTTATATACTGGGGTGTGATCCAAGTTCAGTCATGAGTAGAAAAAGACAATGTTACATTTGTATGTAGGCTGGGAATTCTTGCTGAAGGGATTGGAAAAAAACGTTGCTGGTAAACTTTCACGTTTGAGATGAAAAGGAAGGTTTAAGATCTTTTTACAACTATTTTTTGTATGTAATTAAGCAGTTACAGTTATCTGGGATTTTTTGGTCAGAATTCTAAACTGTTTGATTCTTCATATTCCAGTGAATAAAATATGAAAGCATTGTGTTTTTAAGATTGTGTTAATATTCACCTAAAAACTTGTGCCAAAAGCACCTGACTCGGCAATTGTATTTCACTTGAAGGATAAATTTGACAGCATCCTGATAATCTAAAAGTGCAATGTTTTTTTTAACGAGTTTTCTCCTGCATCACAGATCCTGTAGATATATATTTATATTTATACATATATATTTATGAAATAATTCTTATTATTCACAAAATATATTTCTGAATAGCCTAAAAATTAAAATATGATGCTTAAACTTTTCTTCAATTGGCCATTAATCTTTTTTATTTAAAATTTAAAATTTGTTTTTTAAATTGTATGTAATTTTTAAAATAATAGCTGCTGATGTAGACTTGATTTGTGAAAGTATGCTTTTAAAAACCATTTTGAATGTCTTAAACATCTGACTTAAAGTTTCTGTTTATCTTTCTGACCAAAGGAACAAGAGCATATGGCATTCATTAAAGTTATTAATATATAGAAAAACAATGATATTTATAGCATCAGTAAATATTTTTAAGTGATACTCCTAAATCAGAGAAGTACGGGAAAAAGACATAAAATCTTGTGGTCCTGAGCAATGTTATATGAAGTAGAAAAAAATAAAATGTTTCCCAGCTGTGTGTTTTGTTTTATAACACCTTGTCCTGTATTACTTGATATTTTAACAAGTATCAGGCACGCTCTAACAAATGTACAATTTTTTTCTAAAGGAAATATTAAGAAATTTTTATTAGTGAAATTTTTGTTGTAAATAATTCATAGATTTTACATATATCTTTAATATTTGTAAATCAGATAAAATATTTTGGGCTGGGAATGTAGCTCAGTAGAGCACTTGTCTAGCATGTATTCAAGGCCTTGGGTTTGAGCCCCAGCACCACACACACACACACACATACACATACACACACACACACACACACACACAATTTATTTATGTCCATAAAATAGCAAATGCCTACTAACTATCAGCAAATTATTGTATTTTCCTTTCTGCAGTTAACCTGGAAGAGTTAACTGCTGTCCTCAAAATGATAACATGGTTATCTCTTGGTATGTGTTCCTTTAGCAAACGTATTCATCAGGAAATATCCAGCAATTTGGAATCAAGCCTGCACATTAGCAAGGTATCAAGCCCATCTTTCTCCCTTTCCCCAATCCCTCCAAAAAAAAAATGTTTATTTAATTAATTTATTTAGTTTTTGGGTGCTGGGGATTGAACACAGGACCTGTACTTGCTAGGCAAGCACTCTACCATTAAGCTATACCTTCAGTCCCCAGAAAGTTTATTTTAAACTAGGAAAAATGTAGAAAAGGGGGTTTAGGAAAACAGATTAAAAACACCAGAAACGTAAAGCTTCTAGAATTTAAAACAATAAGTAGTAAGGAAAGATGTATGACTATGGAAGTAGCAATTGTAAGATAAGCATTTGTCATGCTTAGAAATTCGTGAGGTCAATCCTTTGTTACAGTGTGTTTTTTGGTGTTCATAGTGTTGACTCTTGGAATCTTCCCCCAAAAGCTTAGAGGTCAGGACCAGGTCAGGGATATTTCAGACTACCTCTATCAAAAAACAGTTTAATTTTTTAAAATTATCATTGCTTTAAGATGTGCATAGAATTGGGGGTATAGCCCAGTGGTAAAATGCTTGCATCACATGGGTAAAGCCCTGGGTTCAATCCCCAGAAACCCGAATCCACCCAAAAAAAGATTTACATAAAAAGTTCACTTGGGATGGGGTTGTGGCTCAATGATAAAATGCTCACCTAGCACGTGTGAGACCCTGGGTTCAATCCTCAGCACCACATAAAAATAAATAAAATAAAGGTATTGTGTCCTACTACAACTAAAAAATTGAATATTAAAAAAAAAGTTCACTTATGGCCTGGTGCAGTGGTACACGCCTATATTCCCAGTGGCTTGGGAGGCTGAGGCAGGAGATCTAGAGTTCAAAGCCAGCCTCAGCAAAAGTGAGATACTAAGGAACTCAGTGAGACCCTGTCTCTAAATAAAATACAAAATAGGGCTGGGGATGTGGCTCAGTGGTTGAGTGCCCCTGAGCTCAATACCCAGTACCCACCCCCAAAAAAATTCACTTATGGATCATGTTTATACCTAAAGATATAGAATAAAATTAAGTAGTCATGTTCTACAAACAGTACTTTAGGGCTGGGGATATAATTCAGTTGGTAGAGTTCCTGCCTCACATGCATGAGGCCCTGGGTTCAATTCCCAGCACTACCAAAAAAAAAAAAAGTAGTTTACTAAGATCTCTAAAATTTTATGAGCCATTATAAATCCTTTATATCTAAAGGCCTACAAGACTGTTTTATATATAATAGTATGTCCATTTCTTAAAAAAAAAAAAAATTCCCCCAAATTAATATCTTAATATGTAGTTCTAAATTAGTAAAAATTTGTATTAACGTAAAATACAAAGTAGATTTTTATTTAAGTATTGTTGAAAATGTAATCATTTTTTACTTCTTTTTTTGACAGTTCTGGGGATCGAACCCAGGGGCACTCTACCATTGGGTTATATCCCCAGCCACCTCGCACCCTTTTTCTTGTCTTATTTTGAGACAAGAGTCTATCAAATTTGCCCAAACTGGCCTTGAATTTGCTATTCTTCTATCTTAGCCCTTCTAGTTTCTGGGATGACAGGCAATGCACCCCTGTACTTTGCTTAAAATTTTTGATGTAATAAAACATTGAGCCCGGCATGGTGGTGCATGGTTGTAATTCCAGCAACTCAGAAGGCTGAGGCGGGAGGATCACAAGTCCAAGGCTAGCCTCAGCAATTTAGCAAGACCCTAAACAACTTAGTGGGACCCTCTCTCAAAATAAAAAGTAAAAAGGGCTGGGGTATACCTCAGTGATAGAGTCTTTACCTAGAATGCCCGAGGTCCTGGGTTCAATCCCTAGCACTGGGGGAAAATTTTGAATAAAATAAAAACAGTATTTTTCATATTCCACAAAACTAGTTGAGTATTTTTAAATGATAGTTATTTGGTTTTTACATTATTATTAGTGCACATTTTAGCTATTCTATGTCTTCAGGAACTTGTGACACTTTTGTTTTTAAAATAAAATCTTACTCCAAGATGCATACAGTGGTGCATGCCTGTAATCCAAGCTATTCAGGAGCCTGAGGCAGGAGGATCACAAGTTCAAGGCCAGCCTGGGCAACTTAGTGAGACTGTCTAAAAATTTTAAAAAGGCTAGTGATATAGCTTAGGGTACACTGTCACTGTGTTCAATCCTCAGTACTATTAAAAAAAATATTTGGGGCTGGGGTTGTGGCTTAGCGGTAGAGCGCTCACCTCACATGTGCGAGACCCTGGGTTCGATCCTCAGCACCACATAAAAATAAATAAGTGAAATAAAGATTGTGTCCAACTACAACTAAAAAATAAATATTAAAAAAATTTAAAACTTTTTCCTATAATAGATGTTATTGAGCAATTTCTATTAAAAACAAAACAAGGAAAAAAGAAAACTTGGTGAAGCATTTACATAAATGAAGTGAAATTATACAAAGAGATGTTATTGGGAGAAATTTGTCATCTGATGATAAAGGAGAAATAAATGATTACTGCTTTCCATATAATAAGCATTATTATATGAAAGCATGTTGAATTTTGTTCTGTTGTATAATAGAGCTTTTATTTAATTAATTCTCCAGGTAAAGTATCTTAAATTATAAATATCATTTGATGAGACAACCATATATTTTATAATCCTATGCACAGTTACCTGCCATGATAATTAGTCTCTCCAGTAAAAGTATTCTTGTTTATGATGATGGTCATAGGTGGTAAATCCCTCATATTTTATCTTCCAAATGGGACTTAGCAAAATCTTAACCTAATACAAATTCATTTTCAAAGGATGTACTGATGAGGACCTGAAGAATGAAATGTTGCAGTTGGTACCTTGAGTGAAGGCACAATATATAGTCAAGTATTTATTGACTCCTTACATGTGCCAGGTAGTGAACTAGGTGAGGAATATAATAACACGCAAAGAAGAGAACACTTTAATCAGCTTATATTATTGAGGAAGACAACTAATTTATATCACAAACAAACTGTAAAACAATTGCAACAAATAAAAAAAGATTTGTGGTGGTAAGAGAATATATAATGGAGGAATTAAAAAGAAACCTTCCTTTTCTGAGACAGTGATGCTTAATCTGAAATCATGGGAATAAATAAAAGTTACCTGGACAAGGAAGGTAGGGAGGACTACTCCATTTAGAAGGATTAGCAAGTGAATGGAAGAAAATGAAAGCCACTTTGGCTAAAGTTTCATAATTAATGAAACTGAACACATATTTCAGCTTCATCTGACATTGTAGGTATATGCTTGCTTTGTCAAAGCTTTTGATTAGAAATATAGAACCAGAACTCTGTGTTTTTAATACTAAGCACCAAAATATGCAATTCTACTCTAATATACACCCAACAAAATGTCCTGAGAGACATGTAACAAGAATGTGCATAGTAAACCAGGGTGGTGGGCACATAACTGTAATCCTAGAGTCTTAGAGGCTGAGGCAGAAGAACTGGCAAGTTCCATGCCAGTCTGGGCAACTTAGTAAGATCCTATCTTAAAACAAACAGGGCTGGGGATATAAGTCATAGAGTGTTTCTGGTTAAAAAAAAATTTTTTTTTTAAATTTGTCTAGCCGTGCGCGGTGGTGCATGACTATAATCCCAGTGACTCAGGAGGCCGGGGCAATAGGATCACAAGTTCAAAGCCAGCCTCAGCAACCAAGGGAGGCCCTAAGCAATTTAGTAAGACCCTATCTCTAAATAAAATATTAATAAGGGCTTGGGATGTGGCTCAGTGGTTAAGTGCCACTAGGTTCAATTCACAGAACCAAAAAAAAAAAACATTCGCTAGAAGCCCCACTCAGTGACTTCTACCTCTGTCTTTTTGGACAAAACTGAATCACCTGACCACCTCTTGCTACAAGAGTATGGAGAGATATTTTAAGCAGTGTGCATTTCTGTCCTGAACAGAGTCAAAGTTCTGTTGGTAAGAAAGAATGGATTCATATAGTAATCGCTAGTCATATATAGATATTTGTTGAGCACTTGAAGTAAGGGTAGTGCAAATGAGGAACTAATTTCCAATTTTAAGTTTGAAGGACTATATATGGCTACTTGCTACCATATTAGATCAGTAAGTGTTCATATTGAGATGATTCATAATTGTTTACCATTCACTACCATTCATAACCAAAATTAGAAACCCAAATTGAAAAATTGTCATATTTCCTGGGCATAGTGGCACACACCTGTAATCCCAGCAGCTCAAGAAGCTGAGTCAGGAGGACCTCAAGTTCAAAGCCAGCCTTAGCAAAAGCAAGGTGCTAAGAAACTCAGTGAGACCCTGTTTTTTGTGTTTACACAGTAGGGCTGGAGATGTGGCTCAGTGGCCAAGTGCCCCTGAGTTCAATCTCTGGTACAAAAATAAGAAAAATTGTTGTATATTTACATAATACATTATATAACTACACATAATAATAATTACTATAACTACACATAATAATAATTTGCTACAGTTACCTCAGAAATGTGAGATATAGCAAAAGTAGCCAGACAAAAAGAATATATAATTTTTCTAT